ATGTTAATCAGTATTATTGTGATTTTTAGTTTAAAGTGTTTTCTTCCTTATGTGTGTATAAACTGACCTGGAGGTTACGACTGACTGTTTCATCTTCATGTGAGACAGTTAACTCTGTGTTTCCCAGACCTTAATTCTTATCAACCAGAATACCTCCTAACTGCCTGTGAGCAGTCGTATTTTGTCTCTTGTTTATCCTCCCTCTTTGTTGACAGTTTGACCTAGAGCTGAACTGGGCTCAGATCGTAGATCAGATATCACACCTGGAACTGAGTTGCTGGTTTGTTTAGGTTAAATGTTTTACGACCTTTGTTGTTTTTTTTTTTTGGCTGTTCTGCTTTGACAATAAAACAGGGGCTCGCGTGGAAGGAGATCAGAACTCTCTGTGAACGGCCTGGAGAGGTTGTTGATGGAGAGTTCTCCTTTTGCAAAAGCTTTGTCTATAAAATTCATATACGTTGTCTGTGGTCTTTTTATATAGGTTCGAGAAAAAGTACCTATCAGGTTTATAAGCCACTTTGCTCATACACACCTTTTAGCTCTGGCCATGAATCTTCTAAGTGATTGAAATCAAGGCTTTGTAATGAACACTCCAAATCAGTAACTTTTTCTACTTAAGACACTTTATGATTAATTTGGAAACATGACTCAGTCATTGCCTCTTTGTCAGGCCCATTTGCACCCAAACTTTTACTTCCTGGCTGATGTCTTGAGATTTTGCATCAATATTCCCACATAATGCTATTTTCCTCCGCTACCATTCCCTCTTTTCTTCCAGATGTAATAATGGACATTTTGATCCTTGGCCATCTTTCCATTTAGTGTTCATCAGACAAAAGCATGTCTCCACTAGTTAGGATTTTTTGTCACTGAGTGTATTAGCACACTGTGAACTTTTTAGTTTGCTTTTTGAGTTTTGACTTGAGATATTTGAGAAAACGTTTTACCAATTGACCTAAACTGAACTTTACTGCTTTGTTTTTGTAGGATCAAACAGTTATTGCAGTTAACTTTAAGTCTGTCTATGCGATTGGATTGAATCGACTTCATATTTCTGTCAATCATTGGCATTTGTCTACTTTGTAAAGTGCCTTGTGACAGCATTTGTTGCGAATCAGCATTATAGAATTGGTGCTACGTTGGTGCTACAGATCTAAACTGATCAAAAACAAGAAATTTTGTTGAGACAGTGAGAAAAAAATTATTATATATAATTTATCACATCTATAAATTGTGATAAATTTGCAAGGATAGGTGTACCCACCTATCCTTGCAGGATCCGGGGGTGCCTACCTCCAGCAGTCATCGAGCTGGATTGATGTAAACCGTGGAGAAGTCACCAGTCCATCACGGGGCAACACAGAGATAAACAGGACAAATAACACACAAACACACACATTTATAAGGACTATTTAGAGTAACCAATTCACCAGTCATGTTTTTGGAATGTGGAGGGAAGCTGGAGTACCCAGGGAGAACCCATCCATGCACAGGGAGAACACGCAAACTCCATGCATAAAAAAACTTCGGCTGGGCATCAAAACCTGTGTTAACAACTGAGCCACCATCCAGCTTCCTTTCACACAGTCTATGTAAACATTTGGGCTAAACTTTCTATCAATATATATATGTCTGAGTGTGTTTACACAGTATTTGGAAAAACAAATAAAAAATCAGATATTTGTGATTAGTGTAGTACTTTTTCTTGGAATGCTCATTCCCATAAACTGCACAGCTCGCCTGATATCATAAACATCTGATTGCCTCATCTTTCTGCTGATTGGTTCCAAAAAAAAAATTACTGTCCACAACCTGCTTGTGGACAGTAATTTTTATAAGAGCTTTTGTAAACTTAGTAAAGGTGAAGAGAAAACGCCTCTTCGAACCTGAGGGGAACTGCAGAACTCTATACCCTGCAGCATTTCAGTTATCCTGGTTTATGCTGTATTTTATAGGATTCCATCATAAAATATATTTAATAAAATATTTAATGACAATTTGGTGTGCTCTATACTAATTTAGAAATGTGTCTCTATACTGACTGAAAACTGTATCCAGTAATGAGAGAAGGTAGGTTTATGTGACCAAAGCAGCTGTAATTAAGCGTTGTTGTCCTGAATGTGTGGCGTGTTGTTGTGCTGGGCCCTTGCTGCTCATTTAGCTGGATCCAGGTCCTTGATCACTTTTTCTCTATTCAGGTAAGTGGCCCAATAGACTAGGTTGAAGGAGCCAAACAACACAGGGAACATAATACGGGAGATGCGGTCGATAATGCTGACGCTGTTGAAGGTTTTCTTGTTCTGCTCGGGCTTCGTTCCTCCTGTGATCTTGTTGGGCTCGTTCAGAGTGCACTTGGAGATGGTGGGCAGTGTTGAGTCTTTCGTGATGTTGGGCTTGTAGTTTGCCACAGCTACGGCGTAGGTGTTCTTCTCCCTCTTGACAGTCGCTTCCTTTTTCTGCAGGTAGATTAAAACAGTTGAAGAAATTTAAAAATATATGAAAAAAAGGTATGTTACTTATTTATTAATGAATACAAGAGATTGGACTTGAATTTTTTGTCTTGATTTGATGCTTTTTTTTGTTTTTCAATGCAATCAAAATTTAATCTTCTAGTTTAATGCTGTAATATCAGAAGGTTAAGTTGCATAACTAAAAAATTTAAACCAAAATAAAGCACTTCTAAAACATTTATAAAAGGACACCTCCACACCTAAAACTTAAAAAAGGTACATAAATGCAATCCCATGAAATTTACTTAGGTTGATTATTGTTATCTAGTATTTTGAAATTGATTTGTCCTAATTAAAGCTCAGATATTTAGTTTGATTATTGAAGTGACATTGAACACCATGGAAAAACACTCCTGGAAAGGAGTTTAAAATGGTCTGAAAAGAATTTGAAATGAATCATTCCACTCTCCAGGAAAAAAGGATTGCAAGTAATGGACATTTAAAACATCTGCCAACATGCTGAGATGTGTTTTGCAAGAAAGCTCAACCCAATAACAGTCTGCAAGATGTGAAAGGGGCAATATCATGTACTTTCCAGTCATATAGTGCTATTTTATAGCACAGTCAAGTAACTATGTTACCTTCAGATGTTACAAAAATGCTGTAAATATCAAAGATAATTGAATTGAAATTTGACACCTTGAAACTGGGCCCCTCTCTCTTTAAGAAGCCCCCCCAACCCTCCACCCCACTCTCTATGATTGATTCTGACTACAATATGGGTGTAATGTGTCTGTTTTTGAACCACATTGAAAGTTTCCTTGATTATTATTATTTTTTGCCACGACTGGTTGGACTGGCGCTACCTCAGATTATTTTAGAAATTTGGTTGCACTCTAGAGCCCTTTTAAACATCACTGAGTAAACAAATGAAATAACACAAGACATTTAATGGGGTGTCCACATTTGTTTTCATATGAATGTACTTACCTTGTCGTTGACAATACTTTTTCCATCCCAAGCCCAGCCTCGCTTGGTGAAGTAGTTAACAGTGGCAAACTCAATGAGAGCAGAAAAGACAAATGCATAGCAGACTGCGATGAACCAGTCCATGGCAGTAGCGTAGGCCACCTTTGGCAGAGAGTTACGGGCACTGATACTCAGGGTCGTCATTGTGAGAACAGTGGTCACTCCTGAAAATAAATATAAAATGAGTATTTTATTATGTTGTCTCTGGCAATTCACAATATAGACCCAAAATCCCAACACAGAAGACCCAGAGTGTTTCTAAATTTCTGTAACCAAACACCAACGTATCATCCATTTCATGTTTCATTCTTATAGTGCACAATTTTTAATGTTTCACAGCTGCAACTTTGTTTCTGTGCTGCTGCCCATCTTGGCCAGGACATTTTTTGAAAAAAAAAAAAAAAAAAGATCCTAAGAAGAGTTTAATTCACTAAATAAGGGTTAAAACATGTATATGAATAAAGAAGTCACTGGAATAAGTCCCAAAACAGACAGGCACATCTGATCAGGGAGTACTTCGGGAAATCATTTAGAGGTGAAGTTGGTGGTGTGCCGCGGATCAAATTGTCATGCTCCCTTATCTTAAGGTTTATGGCTTCATCAATTTTTGGAAGTTGTCCAGGTTCTGTAAAAAATCATAACAAAACAAAACAAAACCATCACACCATATTTAGCTGTAATATGTTATTTTCTGAAATGCTTTCTAAATTTTATGTCAGATGTGACAGGCCATATACCTTCCAAAATATTTCACTTAGGTCTTGTCAGTCCACTGAACATTTTTTTTCTAAATCTTGGAGGTAATCAAAATGTTATTTGACTTTTATTTCTTTACGTTTATCTTTTTGGTCAAGCTTGAAAGTCTCAAATGAATTTTTGCAACAAATGACAACACTGACAGTATAATGTTCTAGATTCTCTTTTATCCGCTGGAATGAGTCATTGATGCACTTTTGGAGCTATCTTGATGGGTCAATAAAGTAACGCATGACTTCAGAATGAGGACCATTATATTTTTCATGTAAGACTAAGTTGATTTGTATAGCTTTTTTATATAAAGGAAATACTCATATGAAAACATATTTTTATTTGCTTTCATTAAAAACTCAGCGATGTAATGAACTGATATAAATACACACACACACACACACACACACACACCCAGATATTTATATTCCAATGTGGATGTAGTTATTTTATACACAAATAAGAACCATTTACTTAAGATAAATGAAATGCCATGGAATTGAATGTTGTCTGCATTTATTTCTCAAGTCTAGTTTTCTGTAGTTTACATCCATAAAATTTGAAAATATTAAGTGGAAAATTGACATTTCCACAAGTGAAGTGAACTAACACTCAAACCTTTAACTGAATAGTTGGTGTTGAGATTCAGACAACGACTGCAGCTGCTGCTGTTCTGCTTCCCTGCTGTGCACACTCTTGTGGAGACACGGTTGTAAAAGGTTTTAATGTGCTTTCTCTTTCATGTTCACACTCTGCATATAGCCGTGCACGTTCAAATTTTTAGGAAGAAATTAAATAGGGTTTAAGCCTCTACATCTCCTTTGCTTTTGATTCAGAATCACCAAGATTTGTAAAGCAATGCAGACATTAAGATCTTGAATTAATCTGATTTTGACTTTTTTTTTTGTTTCACGTCTTTTGATGGTCGAGATCTCCAATGTGTTTGCAATCTTTAAATCTTTTATTTCACTTAAAAAACAGATTGAAAATCTCAAATACTCACCAAACACAGTTCTAGCAGGCACTGATTCCCGGTTGAGCCAGAAGGAAACCTGGGATAGGATGACTGTCATGATGCAGGGCAGATACGTCTGGATCACAAAGTATCCAATCTTCCGCTTTAGGTGGAAATGAGCCGTCATCACTGTGTATTCGCCTGAGAGTCATAGGAACAGGTTCGCTTTACATAAAAATATATTCATGTGAAGAATAAAGAGGATAATCATGCAGAAGATGGTTATCATTTATTGATTATCACCTGGTTTTGCTATACTTGTATTCACAAGAATACAAATGTTGTATTTGATCTTTACTCCTTGGAGTATTTGCTGCATTTATGACTACAGTTTGCAGAAAACTGACAGGGCTATTTTCTGCCTGCTAAGTTAAATACATATTGGGATTATCTCCAGCTTTCATTCTTCTTGTTTGCTACAACACTTGAAAAGAAGTCGATTTAATCCCATTGAAAGAGAGTGGGTAAAAAAAAAAAAAAAACACTTGAGTAACTGTGAAATCTGAAAGCGAAAGACCTCCAACGCAAATAAAGATATGGTATGGAGATCACTTTTCCTCCCACAATGTGGTCCACCCACACTGGCTGCTGGATGAGTATACAAAAAATATTTGGTACATAAATCTGTATGAAATGAATGCCAAGGATGAACTGGTGAATAAACTGTGCTGCCCAAAACATAAAAGTTTGATTAAAGAATGTTTCTGAATTGCATTATTTACCTGAATTTGTAGTGTATAAAAGACCAAACCATAAAAGATCAGACGTTGTGTTCCCAGTTCTACAGAAACCAATGTAGGAATCACCAGTTTGAGTGTCTTTGGTAGTCTTTGTCTGATTAGGTGCCTACCAGTGCTGGATTTAATGGTCTCCTTTCCAACAGTCTGTCCAACCAAGTCGTACTGGTTGAGCCTGGACCCATCATCTGCTACGTCTACTGACTGGGAGGCATTTCTTGTCCAGATGTAAGTTACCTCTGTCTTTGTGTAGGCATCTGAAGCAGGGGTAATACAAACAGGAACCAACAAACCAGTCATTTCTAATCACCAAAAACCAAAGATTGAAAATCAATCAATCAATCCATCCATCCATCCATCCATCCATCCATCCATCCATCCATCCATCTGTATATCCATTTATTCTATTGAGTCTAATTCTGCAGATTTTAACACTTACAGCTGCCAAACTTAAGAGGACATGAATGTGAGTCCATGGGAAAGTCCTCCAGATGCATAGGACACTCAGCTTGAACTGTTAACCTGGCAAAAAACATAAATATCTTAATAAAACACATTTGGAAGTTTGTGTCGTACATCAGAAGACATGTATCCTAATATCACTGGGATTCATAATGAAATTGCAACTGACTGACTGTAGAAAAGATTGCAGTGTAATGTAGATATGTAAACTTATGAAGTGTGGTACAATGATGGGTCCACAAAGATAACTGAATATAACTTCAAAATATGTTACGTTTTAACGAGATCTTGTCATTGTGGAGCCCAAGTATGAGATAGTATAGGTCAGTGGTCCCCAAACTTTTCTCTTCTTGGGGGGGGGCCTGAAATTGTTGACGGGTGGGGGGGCGGGGTGCGTTTCTCGATCGATTTTTACCCAGAAAGCACATGGGCAAAAACCATAAGTGAAACGGTCAC